TTTTAAAAATAACAATAAATGGAACTAAATAATTCTTAAAAAAAAAAAAAAGAATCCCACATGGCTAGAAGTACAGTTGGAATTTGGTACTCTGTAGCTTGAGAAACATACTGGGCAAGCATGTGTGCATGCCTAAAATCTCAAAAAGATGAAGGGATTGCAGTGTGACCACACTCCATTGAAGTGCTACCCCCACCAGGGCCAGCAGGTGGCATGGTGGTTAAAGATGCTGGACTCCCACATGGCCGACCATGGTTCAAGTCCTAGACCTGGCAGCTTGGTTTCTCTCTCTCTCTCGCTCTCATGCTGCCCCTCTGTGGTCAAATTAAAAAAATAAATAAATAAAATAAATAGGGACCAGCAGTTAGCGGTAATGGCTACGTTGCTGGACTCTCATGTAGTCGACCGCAGTTCGAGTACCAGACCTGGTGGCTTAAAACTCACGCTGGGCGCATGTGTGTGTCCAAGATACTGAGAGGGGAATGGAGGAGAAGGGATTGCAGCGTGGCCATCCCCCCTGGGGTGATTTCTAGCTTTCTGTCTCTCTGCCTCTGTCTGACAAGCACGCGCCCTATAGCAAAAACCTCTCCAAAACATAAAAAATAAATAAAAAAAGTTAAATACTTCTAAAAAACAAAAAAAGAAGTGCTACCCCCATCCCATCCCCATGTCTCTGGCTAGCAAACACATTCTCTAGCAAAGAAAAAAAAAAAAATAGTTCTTAAATACTGTAGAGCCTGTCTTTTTATGGAATGATACAGAACAATCAAGTAATAGCGATCAAAAAAAGAAAACTGTATTCAACAAAATACCCAAGATAAAGCCTCCAAAATGGATTCAGTATATTACTATTTCCAGCATATTAAGCCAAGTCTTCATTTTAGCAGACTAAAGAAGTTTAGACCACAGACTTCTGCAAATTATTACTATTACATCTTTGAAAACAGTATGTGAGGCCAGCTGATCACAAGGGGAATTAAGACAACTGGATCCCACATGGCTGTTAAGCTTGAAAAACACTCTATGACCATGAGTTCATGCTCAACATCCCATAAGAAGGGAGAAGAAACTGTTGCCTGATCATGCCCAGAGAGGTGCTTTCTCTCTTTCTCTCCCTGGCAAGGACACACCCTCGAGCAAAACAGACAAACAAAAAAATTTTATTTCATTTTTTTTTAAATTTCCTAAGTTTTACTCCAGTAGACTAGGTTCAAATCCTGGCTCAACTGACTAGCTGCCCAACAGTGGACTAGTTATCTTAATCTCTTTAGGATTCAATTTCTACAGATGTAAAATAAGGTTAGTAAAATGGTAGTAATGGTGCTTCTAAGTATGAGGTTAAATGCGCTAATGAATGTGAACAGCTCTGCATAATGTCTGGCACTTGGCATGTATTCAACCATTAGCTGTCATTACTGCTAAAACTTATTTATGATGATCATTCTGTAAACTAGCCATCATATTTAAATGATTCTTGTATTTGAGGTTACTCTAGTTTTGATAGAGCACTGACTAGCACTGTCTTTCCAGAAATGCTTAAAAATATGTCTGGAATTTTGCTTTAAAGTAATCCACAAAAAGTAAGCAATAAGAAATAAAACTGATAAATCGATGATAATTATTAAATCTAAATGTCAAGAACATGGCAGTTTATTAAACTATTCTCCTTTTGTGCTTCAAAGTTTCCATAATTAAAAGGTTTAATCACTAATTCTTAGTTCTTAGTCCAGTTTGTTGTCTTAGACCCTGCTAAAGAGGGTGCAAACTGAAAATCAAAATACCTGCATTCTATCGTAGACTAGCCTCTACCATTCTCTCCTTTATGTGATCTTAAGTTTTCAACCTCCACCTAAAAATGTAGTAGTAAAATTAAAATGCTTAAAACCCCCAAAATATTACGCAAAATTATCACCTTGTTGTGAGTAGACTCTTTTTCAGTATAGGAGACAGTCAAATAAAATTTTTTTTCTCTTTTTTTTTTTTTTGGAGAGGTTTTCGCTATAGGGTGCATGCGCTCAGCAGACAGACAGAGATAGAAAGCGAGAAATCACCCCCCAGGGGTATGGCCACGCTGCAATCCCTACTCCTCCATTCTCCTCTCGGGATCTTGGGCACGCACGCACACGTGCCCGGCATGAGTTTAAGCCACCAGGTCCGGGACTCGAACCGTGGTCGACTACGTGGGAGTCCAGCGACATAGCCATTACGCTAACTGCTGGTCTCTCAAGTAAAATATTAAATGCTGGGGTCACAGGTGGTATGGTGGTTGGGGCACTGGATTCCCAAAGGCCAACCACGGTTTGAGCCCCGGACCTGGCAGATTGCTCTCTCTCACTGATGAAATTTAATAGTAAAAACAACAAATTAAATTCAACAATTCTTTTTTTGTTACATAAATTAAGCAATTTATTGTAGGACAGTGATATTCCAAATGCCTATGGAGCCTCTACTGGTCTTTCAATTCCTTCAGTCTTTTGATGGCAGACTTTACTGTGACACCAAAGTGGTGCAGGATCCAAGCACCACCAGCTACCATTTTCATGCAGGAACCACAGTGTCAGATGCCCACAGCCCCGTTTCTTCATCTTAGTTTTGCCACTTAAGGAGCAAGTGTACTTGGCGTGCTGGTGATGTCAATATTCACCATTTTCTGGCACCATTGCCTGTCCCGTATTTACCGAGGATGCCAACCTTCTTGGTGCATTTAGCTATATCACCGCCAACTAGGTCAGAGCTCAAAGACGCTAAATAATTCTTTCAAAAATATATCAAATGCTAAATAATTCTTTTAAAAAATATATCAAATGCTTATGATTCCAAGGAGGTAATACTGATGACCACTGTTTAAGAAGCTGGATGTGGAACCAGCAGGGGGCATGGTGGTTAAGGCGCTGGACTCCCACATGGCTGACCATGGTCTGAGTACCAGACTCAATGGCTTGAAAATCAAGCTAGGAGTGTGTGCATGTATGCCCAAAATCCTGAGGAGAGCTCCCCCTCAGGTGCTTTCTCACCTTCCCTCCCTCTGTCTCTATGACAGCGCAGGTGCCCTATGGCAAAACAAAAAGCTGAGTGTGAAAAATTCATATCCTACACAAACAACCTAAACATTTATACTGACTATCCAGAAATATTCCAGTCTTCTTGATCCTCTGTATTTATTATTTCAAATGGAAGATTCCTCATGGCTCCTGCAAACTAGGTACTGCATGCCACGTGGTTTTCTATTTTGTGATTTTTTTTTTAAAAAAAGAAAAACAGTAATTACAATTTATGATTTCAAATGTAGATTCTGAAAACTCCTAATCCAAACCTCTACATAAAACTCAGTAAAATCTTCTCCATTTCTGCAAGTCTTCTCACCACACAGCTAATCTACAACAGCTTGCTTCCCATATAAGTAGATTGATAAATTCAAATAGACCAGAGCCTACTAGTAAATACTTTTTACAAGCCTGTCATTAAGTCCTAAAATACCAGAAAGCCAGGAACTGGCTTTAGCTGAATAGTTTTCTTTGATATTATTTTAATTATCAGAATTAAAGGAGATTTCAGTGATAACCAAAATATAAAGGTGAAATACTTAAAACAAGACGTTCCGGGCTATCAGAAAATAGGCCTTGAGTTGTTTACCATGAGGCATTTGACATACAACCCCTCCAATCAAATTATTTACCCTGAAATGACAAGTATCTCACATTCATGCAAATAAAATGGTTTTTCCTACATCAAGATTCTTCTTTATTATCTAGACGCAGCCTAGCCACTCCAACTAGAATTCAATTGAAAAAAAAAAATTCCACAAGGAACAAGGAATTTTGTTTTGCCTTTTAATCCCAACAAAATTTAAAGGACGCTGCTGTGCCAGGAGACAAGTTTAAAGTAGTCATCTTTTCACGGGTTTTAACCACATTCGTTTTCAACTTTAAATGTACTTTTTTCAATTCCAAAACGCTAAAAGAAAAACTTTTATATAGAAAAGTTTTTGCCCATACTATCTGCTTGAAGAGATTTAAAAGTGTAAAAAAATATATATATATGTATCAAGCCATTTTTCCACCAGCTATCTACCAACCATTACTGTAACATTTCCGATCGAGTGTAATTACAGGCTGAATCGCTTGCCAAAAGGACAGGGCTTTACTTGCACTGCTGGAGAACAGCCCTTTCGGCCCGGGTGTGGCAGCGCCATTCTTAAATCCAACACCTAAGACCAAATGCCCATGCTAAGAAACAGTAACTAGGCATCGACTATTTGAATCGAGAGGGCATATTCGCTTCAAAACGAACTGGGTTGCCAGGGGGACCGGTAAGATTAACAAGGCGGAAAACTTTCCCCGCAACACCAAGAGCCAGAGGAAGGCCCTGGGGGTCAGCTATGTGGAGCAGCACAACAGGATCCTAAAACCGAATACAGTAACAAAAACGAGGCGGAAACCGGCTGGGAGCCTAAAGGCGAGGAAGAGTTTAAAGACGACGCGAAAAGGGGGAGACCATGCACTTTGATAGTCGTTGTTATTTTATCAAAGCCTCCAAGGCCGGGAAGAAAAGTAGCGCTCCCAGCCAATGAGGCGGACACAAGTTGCACCTCGGAAAGCCTCGGGAGCGGTAGGCGGGGCGAGGGAGAAAGGAGCGAGCGCGCGTGCGCGGAGCGTTCCGTCGGGCACGCGCAGGGGTCGGAGTCGAAGAAATGGGGGAAGGGTTGGAAGAGAAACTCTGCGCACGCGCACAGAAAGGCCGCGCGGTCTCGGGGTCTCGAGCCAGGTTCGTAGCCGCGCGCGCGCCGTTCTCCGTCTCACCCTACTCCCTCACCTTTTCGGCCCGCAACGCCTAAAAAACCTGAGGGAAGCTGACGGAAAAACGTGTACATAACGGCGCAACGTCTCCTGGGTTCTCTTATCTCCGCCAACTAGTCACATCACCCACAAAAGAGTCAACCATACCCACCCGTCTTCAGTATTCACGCCCTCTGAGTAATCTAACTGCAGCGAAAGGCCTACCTGACAGGCCGAAGCACGGTTCCCGGGATTTATCTCCGTTGTAACTACACAGCGGCCATTTCCCGACTCAAGAACGAGAGGAAAACCATAGAGGTAGCTTCGACGCGCTAGCTCGTCTCCGTCACTTCCGATTTGGGGCGTGGCCTCGGGTGCCGCTAAATATCTTGGCAAGCCCCGCCCGCGGCAACCTGGTTCTGGGTGGTGGCAGGCAATGGGGCGGGCTGTTCCAGGCTGTAGGGTTTCTGCACTGTGGGATTTGCTAGTGTCCGGCTTCGTTTGAAGTGGCCCCCTGAGCCTTACAGTGGCCCTTGTATTGGCTGTTGTTAGTGCATCTTCTCGATTCTTTATGTGGGGCTGGCTCAGACCAGGCCCAAAACAAAAAAATCTCACGCTGAACAGACCAGAAGGCGGCTGTGATCTCGGATCCGCGTCTCCCTCTGCTAGCAAGCGCAGCGATTCTTCCTTTTGTACGGCTGAAAATGCCCTTTTGCGTTGTTACTATTCAGTGTGCCACTCGCACCCAGATGTTAAAAAGCAGTCCTGATCTAGATGAGAACCCTTCTCTCTGCTTGCTGCCTGATCAGCTCCGGCTTCACGCGGAAGCAGTGGGAAGAGCTTCAGCTGTTGGTGCAGTTTGTATCGCAGAATGCTTCTGTCCTTGTTACCACTCAGGCATTTTGAGTCGTAAGCGTAAAAATAGAGCAGGAATCAGTTAACAGCTTTCAGCATGAAACATGTATGCTAGCCGAGGAACACAGTCCAACATAGCTATGTCTGCCAAAATTATAAATCAAGTGGTAAGTATATAGGTAAACAACATTTGATTAATATTGAATCTCAAGGAAGAGCCCTACCATGATTTTTAATATCCCTCTTAGACGTTCTTTATTCCTTAGGGCCTAAAACCATCATTACTTTGATGTTTAGGGATGTTAACTACCTTGAAGGATTTCAAAGTTGTATTAACAAGTAGTCTGTCAGTTAAATCTAATGTTGGGTAATATAAAGAGCACTGCCCAAAGTGGCCCTACTTATGCTAAGTACCCAACACCATAATCTAACTTGATCACTTTCGCAGACCTGCATAAATGTCCCACCTGAACTGCTCAGATAAATTACTGTCACCATAAGCCAAGACAAGCCAATGATCAAACTGGTTGCAAAGACAAGAACACATGACACAGGGCAAGGCCTTGGTAAAGGGGCATATAAACCAGGCACTCTATCTGGAGGCATTCCAACCCTGACAAGAGTGAATTGAACTGACTCTGCACCGCTGCAGCTTGAAGTCCACCTGGCCCAGAGCCTGTAGTGACCCTGCCACACTAACGCATTGTTCCATGGAGGAGGATTCGCACTGATGGCTCCTCCCAGTGATAGCCTTGGACTATCTTGGAGTAGAGCTCCCTCCTGGTGATAGTGCAGCTACTGGCCTTGAGCAGGATCCCATCTCCCTGTCCTTTACCCTTGCTATGCTTGCTTGTGTGGTAGCATGCTTGATGTGAATAAAGCCTAGACATTGGCGAAAGACACAACTCAAGTAGTGGACTAATTCCCCACCTTCTCAACTCCCTGGTAGTGAATTTAACACAGGGAGTGCTTAGGGCATTCTCTTCTTATAGCTCAATTTACTAGCTCAACTAGAAAAAGTACCTAATTTTCATAGGATGAATCGTAGATTAATTGCACCATCTGTTCTTCGCCCTGCTACCACCCTCAAGATGTGGAAGCAGGAATCTCAAACCTATGTGTACACTGATGGGTTCCAAGCACACAGTAGGATCTCATTTTCAGTCAGTGTTTAAGTAGATGAATTATATTTAAAGAGAAACTAATCATTGAAAACTCAATACAACTCTGCTAATCTGCATTTAATGAGGGGAATGGGGGAGAACACTCAGAGCTAACAGCTCTTAGTCATTTATTCAAAAGACACAAGCTGAGATAGCCTCTGGCCTGGTAGTTAAGAGAACTGGATCCCGCAGGGCTAACCGCACCATTCCAGTCATCACACATGGTGGCATGTGCCGGTATGCCCAAAATCTCAAAAAAGGAGGAAGAAACAGAAGGGATTGTTATGTGACCTTTCCTTACCCCTTGACTGGGTGGTGGTGGGGGTTGCTTTCTCCCTCTTCTTTTCTCTCTAGCTTTCTCTGGTGAGGGCACCACCCTCTAGTAAAAAATGAATGAAACACACACACATACACAAAGAACACCAAAATCTGACTGGCACACTGCAGGATAAAATATCTTAAGCCTTCTTAGGGGACTCTATTGCAAATGTATTGAGAATGAAGTTATTTTTTCGTCTGAGACTCTATAACTGATTGCGTATGTGTATGTATGTATGTTTAAGGTTTTTACTACAGGGCACATGTGCTCTTCAGAGATACATAGAGACAGTGAGAGGGAAAGTGAGAAATCATACACACAGCCCCAGGAAGGATGGCCATGCCACAATCCCTTCATCTCTTCTCCTCCTAGGATCTTTGGCATGCATATATGCACACAAGCCTGGTATAATTTTCAAGCTGCCAGGTCCAGGACTCGAACTACAGCCATTTGGGAGTCCAGCACCTGTTCGCTCCAGTTGATTATGATTTAAAATAAACCAATGTAGGAAGGAGGAAACACATTTTAAAAACCCTTATTAACAAATAGAAGAGTCATGCAGACTTCTCTTGGGCTAGGTCCATTTGCGATGTGATACTTTGTTCTACTAATCTCCAAAACTGGTGGTTCTTGAATTGAGATGATGTTTTATGTAATTCACTGAATTGGCTTATTTTATTTTCAAAACCTGAAATTCTACCATTATAACTCCATTCTTTGTAATGAAACTCATTTCCTGTTAAAATTCAAATAACAATGAAAATAAAACAGTAAAAAAAGAAAAAAAAGAGCCCACTTAATAAGTGGATATGCATGAAAGTAGATATTTTTCTCAAGAAATATCATTTTAAGCCATTGGCCAAACTTATAAATGAGACAAATACACACAAAAAGAATGCCGA